AATTGAGGGATATAGAACTTTCTCACATCCCACCACATCTGGTTTCTACGGCCTATGTATGATGGTCAGAGATGATATTGGAGCATATGAAAAACCCATGGATGACCCCAGAACTCAATATCTCGTTGTGACTAAACTTGAACCAAATAGTCTATGGCACATCTTTGGGGTATACTTACAATCTGGCTCCAACAAAAGACAACATCGAAAAACACAACTTAAGCCTGTGTGGAGTAAAATCAACAGTTTGCTGGATGATGACCCCAACTGTAAAATAGCAATTGCACTGCAGACATTATTCGGGTTCCCCAAGTGGGCAGGGAAAAATGATTGGGAGTATGATTTGTCATAAAATGGTCTATCACTCCACACCTGAGCCATAACACCCACACTACATATGTGTAGCAGGCTCAGTGAATATGTGGTTATCATGTACATACAGTTCTGCTCAGTTATCTGCTCATCAGGACAAGTTATTCATATGTAATACATGCTGTAACTTCTTTCAGATTGAAAAAAGCTTCCAAAAGATTGACTACATACACTGACTCAATGTTTTGGTGTGATCTCATCAACTCAACTGCATGTAACACACTTTCTGTTACTAAGACATAGCTTCAACAATATTGCCTGAGCAGCTACAGAATTATATGTAGTGAATTTTTGGGAAAAAAATTTCAAAGTCGAAAAAGTTACATGTGGTATAACATGTGATTTATTTATTCTGATGGGCAAAAAACTGAGCAGACCTGTATGTACATGATAGACAACTATTGACTTAGCTTGCTGCACATATGTAGTGTGGGTGAAATGGCCCAGGTGTGCAGTATTAGATTCTTTTATGAAAAACTGTACTATTAATCATTTTCCTCTGCCAAATTGGGGAAGTTGAATGATGTTTACAGTGTTGGCGGTGACTTTAATATGACTACTATCAAACTAGCACAAGAAGCCCTCAAGAAAACCGGAGGACGCATGACCATAAAGGAGTGTAGTGGGTCAAACCTCACACAACTCCCTAACAGAGGAAAACCAAGTGACATTGATCATTGGCTGATATCACCTGCAGTAAGAGATATAACCTGCAAAGCAAAAGTTAACAGACATATGTCATTACAGTATCAAGGCCCAAGTGACCATGCCGCCATCAGTATGAAGATACGCAAACAATTTACAGAACCTACACCTCCTAAGCTAAGATGGGATCTGAAAGCACTCAAAGGGCATGGTACTGATATCCTGACTGAAAGCACATGGAAAACATTTCCAACAACAGGGACTCTCAATGAAAAAGCTGAGTCATGGCGGTCAAACCTAGCAGAAGGTGCAATTAAGTGGGGAGCTATCAAATACGTCAAGCCTCCAAGGACTACCCACTTTCCACGACAAGTGGCAAAGCTAATCAAAAAAGCCAGAAAGGCAAGATCTGATTACACAGAAACATTAAATAAAGGTTGTTCCTTGGCAGAATTAACCAAAAAAGCAAATTACGCAGATAAAGCCTCCAGGCTTGCAACCAAGGCTATCAAGAAATTTGAAACTGCCAGAAACACCAAAAAGGCTGCTCAAACCAATAAGTACCTTGTTGAAAATGAAATGCTAGAATTTCATACAGCAATTAAAGCTGCCTTACCAGATCATCTTGGCAAAAAACAAAGCCAACCTATGCCCTGTAAAGACAAACTTGGCAACCTATGTATCAACAATAAAGATATAGCACAAGCAGAGTATGAACACTTCAGTACTCTATCAAAAGACTCCACTGGGGTTTCACAAGACCCTACTTTCTGGGAAACCTTAACCTGTGATGATGATCCTATTGAAGAATTGGACATAGGGGGACCAATTACCTCTCAAGAATTCCTTCTTGCCTGCAGCAGAAGGAACAAAAATGCCGCACGTGGTGAAGATAACGTCCCACCCGTCATATTTAAAGAAATCCTCAAACTTGAGAGAGTTCAATACTTCTTGGCGGCCAAAACAGCCAAAAATAATAAACAACACAAGAAAAGACCTAAACTCTCTATCATGCAATATGAAGATCCCGACAAACAAAAAGATGAATCACGAGTCTCACACATAGAAATAGACAAACATAACCCCTGGGAATGGGATGACTCCCCAGAATTAGCAAGGCCTACTAAGACAAGGAATAACAAGACTCACGACACCTTTGAAACACCTGCCGGAACCTTTTATGATCCCTTGGATCATGTGTATCAACCTGTGCCAATACGTGACATGACGCATGACCTCAAAACTCCTGCAGGAAAACAAGCCCTACAAATCCTCAACCAAATGATTCAGGAAGGCACACCCGCAGACATTGACTTCAAAAATGTGGTAATATCCCTCAGTAAACCTGGGAAGAGCCCAATTGACCTAAATAACAGAAGAGGAATTACTCTATCAACTGTCTTTCTTCAAGTCATCATGAAAATACTAGAGGAGCAAATGAGCACCACCCTTAATGGTCAAAACTTCTTTACCCTAGATCAAGGAGGGTTCAGACAACTTGAGGAAGGTATGGGACAATTCCTCTCTCTCACAGAGGTTGTGCGTAGACGCGCCAATGATAACAAACCTACGGAATGCGACATGTGCCAAAGTGACAACTTGAAATTTCAAAATTGAAATTTCAGAATCCCCGGGTCAGAAATTGACAAAACTGGAATAAACATCAGATTTAATCCCAATACTGGTCTGAAACCGCCTGTATTGGGGATAAAACCTATCTTTCTGCCAGTTTTCACAATTTCCAGACCACAACTGAAATATCGACCACTGACTTGGCACTTTGGCACAAATAATACATGAAAATTTCAAGAAATCGATTTTCATCATGTCAAACTTCACATATGTATAAAACAACAAAACCCAATACCTAACTGTACCACAGGACAACCTCAGCAGCCAAAACCTACAGATCGCACAATCATTACTTGGGAAGACACAAAACCTAATCACAATTTGCAGAAATAATCACTCTTAACCTACCTCTCCCTCCCCAATTCGATCCTCACCCAGCAACGTCCTCATACCATCCAAAAACCACATTCACTTGTCACTTTGACACATATTATCCAATCCATTCTATCAATCATCAATCTCTCCATTTCATCATATAACTACTGTTATCATGCCTGGACGAATTGAAATCTCAGATGATATCTTACACCCTATCCTAGAACAAGCTCATAACAACAAGTGGACAGCACAATCGGTATCCGACAACATCTGGAGAAGTCATCAAATCAAGCTCAGTTTTCGTACCATCCGTCGACGTATTGAGGCATGGGGTTTGAAACACCGAGTGGAGTATGATGAAGAGACTGTCACGAAGGCTGTGTTAGACAAGCACGGTAAAAGTTACAATCAAAAAAGAACCCTCATCTCAATGAAGAATGAAAACAAAATTGTCATCAGCCGTTCCACCTTGGCTCGTCATGAGAAGAGACTTCAGCTTAATCGCAAACGAGATGATCTTGATCTCAACAAAATTACTTACGAAGAGCTTGTGCAATTGATTAACCAAATGGAAGAAGATTTTGGTCATGTGCTGGGTATCAAGAGTATCAAGCAAAAGCTCATGGCTGATCATAACTTGCATATTCATCGGTGATTAATATACTACTTCATCACATCCCTGATAACCTATGCTGACTTTTCCTCTCTCTTCATTTTTCTCTTTTCTGCTAGTGATGTTATATCGGCCATTCTGAAAGTGATCAATCCTGACATGGTCAAAGTCCAAGCGGCCCACAAACTGAAAAGGCGGCAGTATTATGCGGGTGGTCCTAACCAGGTTTGGGCTTCTGACGGACACGACAAATTGATGCCTTACGGAATTGGAATCTACGGTTTCATCGACTGCTGGTCTCGGAAGCTCTTGGGTCTCCATGCTCATGTCACCAACAGTGACCCACGACATGTTGATTTATGGTATCTTGAACTTGTCAAGAAACACGGAGGCATCCCTCAAAAACTCACCACTGACCGAGGTACTGAGACCATTGACCTTGCTGGCCATCAAATGTACTTTGGACAGCAATACGGCACTGAAACCCCCGGTTTCCAGTACCATAGATATGTTCCCTCTACTAGTAATACTAAGATTGAATCTGCTTGGGAGAAGATGCAAAATGCAGTGACTGGTCACTTGAAAGACGAGATTGCTCAAAGGATTGCGGATGGTGATTATGATCCTGATGATCCAATGCAAAGGTGAGTTGGTGATTTGTGTTTCTTTGAGTAGCTCTTGTACTAACTCATCTTTCTTTTAGACTCTTGTTCCTCCAGCTCTACGTACCCGCCATACAAGAAGCTTTAGATACCTACAAAGACCATGCCAACAATTTTCAAAGGCGTAGAGACAACCGCTCTAGGTTACCAACCGGATGTAGTGCTAACTATTGCTATTACAACCCAGGTGACAAGTTTGCTGGCACAGATTACTTGATAGGAGTTCCCAGTTATAAAGTTGATCAGATCATTGAGGAGGATTATCCAGATCAAGAAAGATTATGGACTAAGACACCTGAGTGGTTTGCGGATGTAGTTGACGAAGTCATGTCTGACATGGAGTTTGATTATGATGATTTGAGAGCTACGAATGTTTGGGAGATTTTCAATTTTGTATTAGAAAGGTTGAGACAGTATGACTGGACTGGTACTCCCTTTGCACCACAGCCAGGTGAATCCGATGTGGTATTTAATTAGTGATTAAAATCAAATTGATTTGTTCTTGTAGGCGCTTTATTTGTCACTAGCTCAACATACTAGACTTTGAAACATGCTTTAATGAATTTCTCTTAAATTGAGCTCTTTGAATTGAAATGCACAAATTGAAAACTTACAAACCAAAATTCATTTATGCTATTATGGTAAGCAACCTTTATCAGGAAAACCGCTTGTGTATTGGTTTATCTTTTGAGAAACAAGAGACTTGATAGAGACAGTTACAAAAAGGTAGCAGAAACCAGCATCCCATATGTTAGATCTTAATTGCGGTAGCATTGATTGGGATCTCCCAAATCTGATACATCCCCTGTTGGAAACTCCTCCACACGCAGTGCTTCAGCCTTCTCCAATTCCTCTGTAGGGACAGTTAATGTAATCACTCTCTTTGCCAGGGCAGCTTTTCTCTTCTGAACCTGGAACAAGTGAGAGCTAGGTGTTAGGGCTACATTCACTCATAGGAATTTTTTGTTACACTCACATTGTAAAGATGCTGCTCAATTGACTGTCCAGTAACTACATGAAATACTCTGACAGGCTTGGCCTGACCAATTCGGTGAAGGCGGTCCACAGCTTGTTGCACTACCTGAGGGTTCCAATGTGCATCCTGAAGATACACCACTGCTCCATCAGTGTTCCCAGATCCAATGTAAAAGCCTGACTTACCATCAAATAGACCTCGTCCGCACATGTCATGTTCAAACCTACCCCACCAGCCTCTATTGATACGACAAATGCTTCAACATTTGGGTCCTTGGTGAAAGAATTGAGTTGAGAAGTACGCTCAAAGGTGGACTGGTCCCCATGCAGCTGACGGTATGTGATGCCAGAGTTGTCAAAAGCCATGATGATCCTGGGAATGAAGTCAGCTATTTGATGATATAATGGGGCTAGGGTTTGAAGGAGCTCACCAATCAATAAAGCTCTTCCACTGAGTGTATATAACACTCTTCCCACCACCATGTGATTTTTTCTTCTGAAGCATGTGAACCAAGTATGCAATCTTTGGGCTAAGCTTCCAGTCCGTTGGAATAGCATCTCTTACCTTGCTGTTATGAATTCTTTCATCCGGTAATTTTATACCCAGTTTTTGCTCAATGAGATTAATGGGTTGATTTTCTGCATCAACACCCTGTTCAATTTGCCTGAATAAAAGAGGGTGGTTGCAAGTCATCCTGAGATTGGTGAGTTGTTTGAAAAATTCACCACCTTGAAATTTCTGCTTCCTTTCAACTCCAAACTGCCGTAAGAAATTCTGATATAGAGTTTGATAAACATCCTTAACCTCCTTATGCATATCTAAAATAATAGTGGTGTGATTAATGGGTGGTAAATCAAATATGTGACTGTCCTTGGTCCTCCTAAGCATAATGTATTGCAAAAGTCTAGAAACTGGGGCCAAATTTCCACGCTGAACCGGTTGAGCAATGTGTGTATCCCAAACCGAATCCTTGTAGAAAGGGGTCACGTGTAAAAACCTCAGCATCATCTGAAGGTTGCCTAGTTTGTTGTGCAGTGGTGTTCCTGTCAGACACAATCTATTGACAGCTTTCAATGCAGTGACACATCTGCTGGAAAAATTGTCATTTCGGATAATACTAAACAAAGTGGAATATCAGTAATTGAACTGAAATTTTACAAGCCAATAGATACACTGACTGTGCTTCGTCAATTACCACACGGTACCACTTGGTTGCATATGTAAGACTATCAAGTTGGTCATTTTTAAGAGTACCTAATGTTGTCAAGATGATGTCTGCTGAATACCATTCTTCTGGTGCACGGCTGGTTCTATTTGTATCATGCCAGCGCATAACCTTGAGTCCCGGTTGTCTTGTATGAAGCTTGATTTCACGTTCCCAATTGTCCATAAGCCCCTTGAGACAGATGAGTAAAGTGGTATGTGAACCTCTAAGTTGACTTTCGGGGCTTTCTCTTTGATAATTCGTCTCGTAACTGAATGCTGCTTGGAGAGTATGTGCAATCAGTGCTATAGTCTGAATTGATTTTCCAAGCCCCATGTCATCAGCCAGAATTGAAGCTCGAGGACTGGTTGGAACTGGTTGTTGATCAGTGGCAATGAATGACTCGCCGCAGAGCAGGTTTGTCCAGATAGTGAATTCTGCGCTCTTTTTGGAGTGCCAAAAGGAGTTGAATGCTGCATTGTGCGGATCCTCTCGATCAAGTAAAAATCCAAGGCCCTGTTGTTGATGAGGTCTGAGCTGGGAGGTTACTAGAAGAGATTGGTTGACTGGTTGCACATCTGATCCGCTGGGAATGGCTCTAAGCATGGAAATAGCATCAGTTGGAAGATTGATCAAGTCTGGGTAGGCTGCCTTCCACTTGGGTGACATAGAGGTGGGTGGAGGAAACAGGCTGATGTTATTGTGATCGTGAGGATTTCAGGACTGAGGAGTCTCGAGTCTGATGCCATATTTCACTAAAATATCCTTGAAGTCTGGCATTTTCCAGAATTTGATAAATATCAAGGTAGTAACTTCAAATTGAATCATTCCTGAGACTTCAAGTGATTGGACAGAGCTGCTGATGAATGCTAATTGGTTGGCAGTTGGATTCCAACCGCCAGCTGGCTTTGATTTATGTTTGCCCTGTTGATTTCCTAGTATTTCTAGTAGAAATGATTGAAGATGTGGTGGTAAGTAACCAATAGTTTTCCCATTCGGAATTACCAGTCTGATCTGTGGGTACTCCTGTTGTTGATCAGGAATGAATATGTGTATTGGGGAATTGAGAGGGAGCTGTACTTCCGTAGCCGATGACGTCAAGGTGACAATTTTGAAGGTAACACAACCAGCGCACACAACTTGGGGAGTCATACTGTGATATATATGATGATGTGAATGATAATTGGGTGATGAGCAATACGGTTTAATGGATGCAAAAAGTGGAAACTTGAACATCTTTACTGGTTGACACACATGTTGATATATGAGAATCTGATCACCGAACTCAATGCAAGTCATACCAGGCTATGACATGCGTGGAAAATCCGTGTGGGGAAATACAAATGGATTTTCCAATGTGGGGCGCTTGTGGGGACAAAACTCACCAAGATTTGCATTGATCACCACAACCATGGTTATCATCTTATCAAACCCTTTATGGGAATCCTAACTACTGCTGTTCCTTGGTCTGTATAGTCCACCGGTCCCAGTGGGGT